GGGGGGGGGGGGGGGGAGGTGAGAGCATCCCTGGGAATAAAAACACAACCTGATTGGAGGTTGCGGTTTGTTTCTTCTCTGGAGGTTCAGTCTCTCGGTCTTTCATCTCTGACGGAACCACAGAGGAAAACAGTTAATGAACGTTACCAGACGCCAGAAGCTGATTTTCATCAGTTTTCAAAGTCCAGGAATCCGCATGAGGCTGAAAACACATGTGAACAAGATCCTGATTCTGTCATTCATGTTTCTGCTCGCAGCTGTGCAGGTTAACCTCTTATAGTCTAACTTCTTTCATAAACATATGACAAACAACCGGTTCTTCGTCGACAGCTTTGTTAAAAGTTGCACCTGTTCAGTCTTCATCACCTGCTTGACGCCGCGTCCTGGACTCCTCACTTTCCTCCTTTTGTTTTCTGTTTTCCTCGCTGCTTCCTATTAACATTCGCTGCTCCTAAAGTGTCTTCGTCATAGTGAAGGAACCAGAATGTATTATTAGTTTGGGTTTGTCGGAGAAGAAAATCAGATAAATCTCAAAGCAACAAAGGAGTGTTTTTCTGGTTTTGTGTTTCATGGTTTCATGTAGTCGTACTTCTAGTGGCAGTAGGTGCAGTGAACAGTAACATTAGTATTGTTGAGTGTCTCATAATGTGCCACTGGTGTCCAACCTGGGGGTCCCGACACCCACTAGGGATCACCAAAGCTTCACAGGGGCCTTCTTGCTTTTAAGGGGTAACGCTAGAGGTCGATTAACATTTGTATGAACGACTTATGATGCTGTTTTTTGGGAGAGGACAGTCTCATGATGCCAATTTTACCGATATAGGCCACGCCCATTTGCACTTTAAAAACATTTTGCCATTTTTTGCTTCTCTTGGCAAATATTTTAACTAATCTGCACCAAAATCACCGCATTGCATATTTGGACGGAGCCGAACAAGACTTAGAGTATCACTTTAACTTTTTATCAGAACTTTTGAAGATGCACTTAAAGGACCATAATTCTTCAGTTCTGAATTGGATTGTTGTTCATAAAGCCACATTGCATTGTGTAACATTACATACAGCTTTACTGACAATAGCTCCACCTCATGACCATTAATAAAACCTCACCATATCTCTTGAACACAGTATTCAATTACCACCGGTTTTGGGTTTTATCTTTAGATGTCAATCACTCTTCTAGCTGGGAGTCTTTCAGAGAGTCAGACGCAGCCATTAAATGCAAATATTCTTGTTACTAAAGTTATAAGGGCATGGCGAAGACCTGAACACAAGCTATATTGACAGAGCTAAACAGCCTGGTCCTGCATTAGGACAGTGGGCTTACTGCCCAAAGAACCAAAGAGCTACTAGAACAATGACATTGAATGAGACACTGGATTTGTCAAAGAAGCATTTTGAGTATGCATATAATAAAATATAAATAACACAGATAGAGAATTGTATAAAAACCACCCAGAAAAAAAACAGGAAAACAATATTCCCAGGAAATAATCCTCTCAAAATTCATCCAAATTCCTCTTTTTTTTTTTTACAAACTTCCTGCAGTTATTGTATTCCCTGTTTGGGTTCATTGACCAGGTGCTCTGTACTGTGATTGTTATTGATTGAATATATAATGAAATATCCATAACAGGAAAGGTTGATAACCAGTAAGTGAATACTGTGGTCAGAGGACATGCTGCCACCCGCTGGAGGAACATGGAGAAGCTCCAGATACATGATAAAAGTCTTCAATGATTCATATTGATTATAGCAGCAGAGGAGGGGGAGGATGATTCTTTAGGCATCATTATGCACATAAACATACTATTTGCTTGTGTTGGAGGATTTGTGCATTGTCTGCGGTGAAACTTTAAGATGCACTGTAAAAGTTATGATTAATAAAAACACGATACAGATGAAAACACACTTCGTCTAAGCCTGTTCCAACTTTTCATATGTGCAGTTTCATCTTTATTTCACAAAATCTAATGAGTTAATCACTGGAAATACTTTAATTATGAATTAGAGTAATTTCTTTTTTTTTCTATTGTACTTTAGTAATTGACTTCTCACAAGAAAACACAGAATTTATGGGATAATATTTATTAAAAACTGTACAGTGTGTAGAAATAACCACAAGCATGACTCAGATTCCATCATTTGTCATCATTATCAACACTGTAGGAAATGTTAAAATTAAATTAAAATCATAATTAACTCATCAACCGTAACCAGTTATCTCTCTGCTTTATGACTGATTTTCATTATTGCTGTTTGTAGATGAAGATCTAATCAGGCACTTAGTAAAAATAAAGAGTAAAAATAATAAACAAAGATAACAAAGGATAAAATATGAAAGAATATTTTGAGACGAGCGCTGTTTAATTCCCAGCAGAGCTTCAAAAACCCTTTTTCATAACATCAAATAAGAAACCAATGATTGAAAGAACTGAAAGCACTTTAAAAACATCACACACAGTTGTAAAAGCAGAGCGTAAGAAGGGAATTATTACTGTAAAAAACATTTAAAAAAAGAGCATCTCATCTAAAAAAACCCCACCAAATATATGTTTCCATTGGATTAAATGGTAAAACAGTGTGCAGCAAAATGATCAAACAAACCCTTTAATTCAAACTCTTTGACCAGTCTGACATCAGATCGTACCGAGCGTTTTAAGGTTTATTAGCAAAGTTTCCCCGATAATGTGAAATACTGTGCAAGAGAAAAAACCTGAATGAGATTCAGCAGCGCGACATATTGAGGTCGGTGTGACGGGAGGAATTATACATTTATATTCTGGGAGGGGTTTCTGATTGGTCGAGCACTCTCAGCATTTTATTTCAGCTTTTTGTTTGTTGCACTTCAATACATCAACCTAGTTACAGAAGAAAGCATACGACCGCTGGAAAGACGGCGTTGTTTAGTTGTGTGTGAAACTAACGTGATGTTTCTTTGTGCGTCAGCAGACTAATTCGCCTCATCTTCACTGGTCTTTAGACTGCGGAGGAAGTGCAGACAACAATAGAAAGAAGCTTTTAGTTCCTTAAGAAGGTAGTTCCTGGGACTAAAAGTTCTGTACTGGCGTACATTGGGTGAAAACGCTGCTTTCGAGTGTTTATATTCAATTACATGTTGATCTATTCATGAGGCCTGAAAAAAGGATCGATGTTTCACCTTCTATTATCAGTGAATAAACACAGAAACTCTCCAAGTGAAAAGTTTTTAATAACATTTAATATTTTGAAATTTGCTCAATTTGAATTTGTGTTGCAACTCTGAATAGCTGCCAGTGTTTAGTTCCTTTTGTCTCGCCGTGCCTCCGTTTGTGCGGACACTGAAGACCATGAACTGACCGTTTCTATGAGAAAGGTCTTAAATGTTGCTTGTGTGAATCGGGAACTGAGAGAGCGACTCTCAGGTCGTCTTCCTGTTTCTCAGAGTGCGAAAGACATCACCAGGGCAGACGCAGACAAACACAGCAGCATTCACCGTCGACACACACACACACACCAGAGAGAAACTGTTTCCTTGGCTAATAAAGGAGCGACATGCTGCTGGTGAAAGGATGAAATCCCTTTGGGCTTCTGCTCCTGGTAGATTTGTTCAGATTTTTCCCACAGATACCTAAAATTATATCTACAAACAACTTAAACTAAGCTGCACAAAACAAAGTGGACATACAAAGAGGTTAAGGACCACGCAGATTACAGCCAAATGTTTGGGCTACTTTTTCTCAGAAATATGAAGCAACATTTTCCTTACATTATTTTCCAGGCGTTTCAAATTATCTTCTGCTTTTTCTGCAGAATTAAACTGAGGGGAAATTCTGATCTGATAGTCAGAAATCACCACAGATTCAAAAAAGTCGCGTCTTTGGCACTCATTATTTCGTGTTTGCTTAATAAATGGCACCGTGGCTGGCAGCAGCAACTAAAGTAAAGCAGTTACTGTACATAAAGAATGAAATAAATGCTGCCCGAAGGCCTCGACGCTGGAAAAAAGCTTCACTGTCAGACACAGTAGCTATGATTTTCTGTGTACAGACTAAAGCGAGCTCTTGTTTCCCCAAAAAAACGTTCTCCAACTGAAATGACTTCAGAAATGTAGTACGCAGGTAAAATGTAGGACTTAAAAGACGGCTACATTAGAAACATCTATAAGCTAATGTATAAAATGTGAAATCTGTTTTCTAATTTTTCCCCACTGTTCTTGACCCCCGCAAGGTTTATCAGTGTCAGAACATTGTGCAACTTCTGCTTTCGTTTCCCAATTTTAATTTTTATGTGCAAATAAACAAAAACCTGAAACCTCCTGACTGTTTTTAGGTGTTGGTTCAGTCGGAGTGAAGGGAGAGAGCGATTTTGAGGCAGCCCAGCTCTTTACCCTGGCTGCCCAGGACGCCCTGCACACGGTAGTTCCCGTTAGTCAGCCAGTAGGGCAGATCCATGTTGGGCAGGTAGAAGTCCGACTGAGGCAGAGAGTACGAGCCCTGAGGAGACACACAGTCAGACTTTAATCAGACAGAATTATTAGATATTATTATCATTATTATGATGGACTGTGGGAGTTTTTTCTTCAAGTCTTTGGAGGAAATCTGGACGCTGTTGGGCACTATAATGAAATAATGGAGAGCACTTTGAAAATTCATAAATTATGACGGAATATATTTGTCTATGGTTTAAAATGAGATTGTAATTGCATCTCTTGAATGCAACTCAGATCCCTTAAATGCGACAGGTCACACATCCTTTAAATCAGAGTTTCTGTAATCATCGGTAAGGAGCAGGAAAAACACACAAACTGGGAAAACACTCACAGCTTTGAAGGGGCAGTGGCAGGGCAGTCCGTAGGTGTGCAGCGGTTCAGGACAGTCCTGACCCGGAGGGATCAGCTGGTTCAGGACATCACAAGCGTCTGAATAGTGACAACTGCCCAACTCCTCCAAACAGGGGATCTTCACCCAGAATCCTGCCACCTCCTTCTCCAGGGTCACGTTCAACTGATGAAGAAGAGGATACAACAAAGTCTGAGGTTCTTGCGGACACATTAGAAAATCCTGCAAACCTTGGGTCAAATTAATGAAGAAAAATGGAAGGAAACAATTGTTGAATGAAGACAGAGAAATGAAAACAGACATTTTGAGGTTTTTGAAACAGCTTCTATGCTTGTCTACAAATAGTTTCAGATCTTGCCATCTCAGAACTACCAGAGGAAAGAGATGGTTGATCTGATCTTCCCATGGGAC